GTACAGCCGTCTCATCCCAGCAGTGAAGCCATGGACACTCATAAGGTTTGGAGGATGGACAGGTGAGATGTTATGCTAGTGGGCAGCAGAATCAGTCAGCTGAAGCATTTAGGTAGCTGGAACAAATGAAAGGCTGCCTCAGAATTAAATCTAAGATTGATCACAGTGCAGCAGGGTCAGCACACTGAACAATACAACAATGAGAGTGATCACAGTCCGTCAGTCTGTGTGGTTCAGAGAGGGTAGTAATGATTTTAATTTGCTCAGTTACATTTACTCTAGTAACGTCTCGGTGGATTTGTACTTTCTAGAGTATTTTTAAAATGTATTATTTGTGCTTTATATTAATAATCTATGTTTTACTCGGCTACATTTATTAGTAATATATAATGACCAGTTTGTTTTGTGTTTAAGTTCATTGTTATGCCTTGCTGTTGTTGTTTTGCTGCATTTACCTCATGTGTCTGTTTTGTTTTAGATGTTTCTCATCAGAAATCATCTGAAGCTGAGCAACTGGTGAGACTCAAGTTTTAATTTTTTAAATAAAACTACATGAATGTCAGACAAATGTTTAGATTTGGTGGGTATTTCAAACAAATATATTTCATGAAGTATTTATGGTAATACAGAAGAGCAGAATGTTTAGGTAAAGCTGGGTTACAGTATTCAAATATCTGAGCTTTATTCATTCAATTTATTAATATGTTATTTGCCACTACAGCTGTGTTCAAAATATCGATATGGCAATATCACCAGCACTGTATCAATATTTATGAATTTACTTCTTCACAGTGCTTTAATGTGTAATACTGCAAGTCTCAGAGCCCTACAATTTATAGCATACAGCATGTGGTAAACATGCTGTAATAGAGTTCAGCTCTTATTAATAATCATTTCATGTAATAATTCTCTGTGAGAGATTAGAGGCATTGAACTCTTCAAACGCCTGGTTCTTATCACTGCCACTATGAACAACTCTGACTCTGTAAGTTTTTCCACAATGGAACATTTTGTATCAAACTACTTTTTTGCATCTTAATGATGAAATTGTGCCTAAAAATCGTGTAATTCTCCTTTAACACAGCTTTTAACAGATACAGATATCAGTACTAAGCTCACACCTGCCTCAACAGCAAATGATCATTTCTGTTGCATGTTTATGGCACTTTGGCATGTTAGAGGATGAAAACAATAGAATTGTGAATTATCTAATCAACTTTCTTGTTTTCAATCCTTCCAAAGGAACATCCTCTCTTTGGGCCTCATCCAGTATGGTGGCAGTCCATATCATTCTCAGCACTCCACTGTGCTCTTACCCAAGTGGCCTCATCCTGATGCTTCTTTCATTACACTGAACATCATTGTCTGAACATCAGCTATGCGTGTGAGCTGGGTGCCACACTGGAGTTCATGCATAGGTATTATTTAAAGCCTTGTCACATTTCTTTGTGTACTAAATGCCTGAGTTGATTTTAGATGAGTAAAATTATGTATACAGTACATTATATTCTACTTATAAAGGGAATATATAATGCTTTCCTTTTTATTTACTGCGTTATGTAGCTTTTTGTGTGTGTAAGATACAAAGCTGAAAGTATATGCCAGAGGGAGAAACTCTCTCCCACAGAAACCACTTTTCTCAGCTGCCTGAGGGCTGGAGTTCCCCAGCCCTTTCCTTTGTTACAAGATGATGTAATCCCATAACACAGTCCTTATTGCCCACCTACCAGCGAGCTTGGCATGGTAAATGTATTATAGTCGACCCCAAAAATAAATTTATGAACATTGGAAATTAGCATAACAGGTCCCCTTTAAATTCAGCCTGCTTGTATATGCAGATCCAAAAGTAATTTAAAATTTATTGTCTTAAAATTCATTTTTCAACAGATGCATTTCCCTTATATCTCCGACAAAGAAGACCAACACTGAGAAAAAACAGAGGAAGAAGCGATGGGCTCTGAATCTGACAGCTCTCTCACTCTTCACGGATTTAACTCTAAAAGAAGAGATCAGTAACATTAGCAGTGTGATATCAGTAATGTTAGTGTTCAGGCATTACGGCATGGAAATATGCACATCGAGTTATCTGTGTCCTGTTTCCTGTGACCACATATGTCCACATAAAATGTCCACAGCTTGGCTCTATTCCAGCTCCCAGCACATCTGAGTCGGGTATTAATTGTTTGACAGCTGATCATTACCTGGCTCAGGTATGTTAGGAGTGCTGCTGGGGTTCAGACCTCTGTATTACTCTGTTGGTACGTTTTTCTTTTCAGTCCAAATGAATTTGTTCTAAAATTGTTTTCCATCATTTATAATTGTTCATAGTACTATATTGCTAATAACTTTTAACATAACTTATGTACGGAGTAACAGCAGACCTTAAAATCAGATTCATTGGTCGGAACTGTGTAGTTATTGCAGTATATTTCAAATTTCTACACAAAGTCAGTTAACATGTTTTTCCTTGTCTGTAGAACATATCAAGTGTGATGACGCTATTGTACTATGCATATACACAGTTGTAAAAACAATAAACAATAACTGTAATCTATATTTTTTGAAAGCTATGTGGGTGCTTTTTCATGGGCTATGCTTTGGATTGCAGAGTAATTTTTTTGAATATAGAAGTATTCTGAATTTTTAACAGATTAACAAGGAAATACAAAACTTCCATACCCCTTTAAATTACATTACTGTAATTTATGCATACTTATTATTGTTCTTGTTCTCCTTCTTCTTATTATTATTTTAAAAGTTGATAAAAGGATACCTTCATTAAAAAATGAAGCAAGTATAAAATAGTAATTGTAAAAAAATGTAATTTTAACCCATTTTTAAAACATTAGGGGTTAATTACTATAAAAAGGTATTTAAAAGAACTGAATTAGATTTTTAAATTTTACAGCAACGCTGTGTTACAAAATAGTTGCATAAGAGTCTTCCCTCATACTACCACCATGCTGAAGGCATGGTATGTACTCACAAGTAAATTTTCACTGATTCACTTTTCTAATGCAACAGAAACATTTAAAGGCGAATTTCACATTTTTGTACACTTGATTCTGTCATTGCGATGTAAACAAAGTCATTTAGTGGTTTCATATAAAATGGCTTATTGTAGAGAAAGTTACAGACTGGGAACCATGTGCCTATTATTATTATTATTATTATTATTATTACTACTTTTGTTGTTAAATTTGTTCTGAAATGTATAAATGTAGTATGTACTAATGTATGTAATGTTTGTATGTTTATAAAATAATGTACAATATATATATATATATATATATATATATATATATATATATATATATAAATACTAAAATAAGTGATACCATTATGCATCCTAAAAAGAACAAAAAAAATTTAATAAAATTTAATTACTAGAATTTTTGCTATAAATAATGTTACGTTTTAAAATTCCCTTTAAAAGATTTATTTAAAAAAAAAGTGTAGGTAAAATTTAAAAATACATATTATGCATCCTACATCTTAAAACATCTTGGGATGTTGTTATTGTCAAGACATCTTAAGATCCGTGTCTATAGACATGTCTTAAAGACATGTCTTCATTTCTTAAGACATGCCTCAAGATGTCCTAAGACGTCTTCATAATGTGTCTTTAGACATGTCTTAAGACATCCCAAGACATGGTTATGACTGGTTATGTATACTCCTCAGCACTCAGTGACCTGCTCTGTAACTTTACGTGGTCTGACATTTTGCTGTGGTTCCTTATTCCACTTTTCAAAAATACCACTCACAGCTGAGTGTGGAAAATCTAGGAGGGAAGAAGTTTCGCAAACTGACTTGTTGCAGTGGTAGCATCCTATTGCAACACCACACTCTAATTTAGTGAGCTCTTTAGAACGACCTATTCTTTCACAAATGTGTGTAAAGGCAGACAGCATGGCTGAGTGCTTGATTTTATACAGATTGCTTCAAAAGGAATATGCAGAGCTACACTTCTGTAGGCTGAATGGGTGGCATTAAGCTGAATAGGCAGCTGTAGTCTCAATGGGTGGAGCTAAACTGCACCTAAACTATAATCATTAATGCTTTGATTAAACACAAGGATTCTCCCACACAAAAACAGTTAAAGTCCTTAAACCCTATTTTTTAAGGATATAATTTCTATTGAGGGCAGGAAAATTACTATGGAGGCAGAAAAAAGAATAGTCAGGAAAAGTGGAGAAAAGCTGGCTCTGGCTCTAGAGTTTGACTGGGCCACCAGAAAGGACATTTCTCCCCATGGTAGAGGAGTCTGACTAGGCTACAGTCCAGGACACTTCTCACCATGGTAGTGAAGTTTGACTAGGCTACAGTCCAGGACATTTCTCACCATGGTAGAGGAGTCTGACTAGGCTGCGGTCCGAAACACTTCTCACCATGGTAGCAAAGTTTGCCTAGGCTACAGTCCAGGACACTTCTCCCCACGGTAGCGAGCCTAAACCCTGTAAAACAGTCCCAGACCATTACCTCTCCTCCACCAAACTTTAATATTGGCACTATGCTACGCACACTGCTACACACTTCAGCACTTGGTGGTCCCACTCTGTGAGTTTGCATGATCTACAGCTTCACAGCTGAGCTGTTGTTGCTCTTCCATTTCACATTAATAGCACAAACACGTACTGGGAAGTGTATGAAGTAAAAGACCCACTATATTATGTAAGAATGTGTATTAAATATTTACTAAAGGACACAAGCTTCAAATGTGTAATATTAAATCCAGTGTGGGAACATGAACATAATACCATCGTTAACATCAGGTTGCACACATTAATTTTATTTGTTGCACAATCAAACACTAATAAAGGATGTCACATTGAAGACCATTATATGATATGTTTGAGATATGATATGTTTGAGTTCATAAACCTGCAGATATATTGTGTAGTTTGAGTTATGAAGGTACAGTATAGTACAGGTGTGTTCCATGCGTTATATTATATATTTTATATTTTATCTGCACAGCTCTGGGTAAAGGTCACAGTGCTGTATAACAAGTGTTATTAAGTCCAGTCATAATTGTAAATAGGCCTGTCTGATAATTGTACACACAGTGAGCATAAATATTTAGACATTTTTACACTTTAATAATAAATGTTGTTAGTAATGTAAATGTTTAACCACCCATGTTGTACTGCTGTTTTGATGACATTCAGAATACAGGTTTGTTTATCCATGCAGTGTTTTTATTTTTATTTTTTTAACAATTTTGTGATTTGCATACATACTGGTACATGATTACAGCATTGTTGCAGAAAACATGGCCCACTACTTGTTTTCAGGACCTGGTTACAGAGATTGGCGTCTTACATGTCATTTGTACTTCTCTGGCACTACAAAGACATTCCCATTTACTTTATACCACACAGTGTTCCAGTTAAGAACATTCGGTTCTGGACCCACCCACACCTTATCATTGAAGTTCCTAATCTCATCCCCTGTCAGCACAGAATCCCATATGTTCACGTCTGAAATCTCACCTACAAAACTCTGGTCTTCATCAAAACCACCCAGGTCAGAGTCCGGATCCTGACCCAGAACAACAGCACCACCAGACTGGACCTTGTGGTTTTTCCTGTACACCTGCAGAGTGCTGCGGCGGCCGTCCACCCAGAATGCAGTCAGACCCGTGCTGGATTCCCAGGTGACACACAGGTTTGTGCGGAAGATGGAGAGAAGTGGGATAGCATAGAAAGCACCCTCTGTGCTGCTTCTCAGGTAGAGGGAGAATTTGCCATACTCCTGCCATACGTTAAGCTCATCACCATTTTGGGTGCGATAAGCGAAGAGGATGGTCTCACGGTTGCCTTGGTTTACTACAGTTGGATCCACAGACAGACGCATACACAGAGTAAAGGCCTTTAAATTCAGGGGCTTCTGGGGGGTGAGCTTTACATAGGAATTGGCAGACGGTTTGGGGAAAAACAGGCCCTTGTCAGTCAAACCACCTGAAAGGCAAATAATATTCTTTTCATTATGATACATTTTTAAAGTGTAATTCAATTGAAAACAATGAGTGACGAGGTAGTAAACTGATGTCAAGGGTGATTAATGATGCTGAAAGTTTCATTTTATTGAAAGTAAACGAGTACAGTGTAAAAATGGACTTGCACTTAATGTTTAGTGGCGTTCTGACTGCATGTGTTCTGTAGCTGTGGCATGTAACAGTTAATGATGCTGAACTAGTTTTGGCATCTTAATTAGTGTGGTACTATGTGGTTTTTGGACGTAGCATAAAACATTCATGAAGCGAGCACAAAAACAGCTGAAGCCAGGGAACTTTATGCTATAAACCAAGGGGTGAGTTAAATCAGATGTGCTTGAGCAGGAACATCACCAAACCCTCCAGGACTGGAGTTCCTCACCCCTGTTATAAACCCTGATTACTTGACAAATACTTCTCCATACTTTTGTAATGAGCCTGTAGTAGAAGTGCACATTACTGCATTACTGATGGATTAAGAATGGAAACAGAGCTGAGTATTTTTTGTGAGACTGCTATATATAGGTTATATAGTTAACTGTAGGTTATATAGGTAACTGTTGCCACCGTGTATTAAGTAAATCTCACCTTAATACTGAAAATTTCAAACACATATCCTACAGCTATCATGCTCCGCTAAATGATCCAGCACTGAAGTAATAGTAATAACACAATACAGGCATAATCTTAGATGTACCATGCACGTCTGCATAGACTCCACATAATAAAGTTGAATTGAACTAAATTTATAGACATTTCAGAATTGAACCTATATTTCTAAATCCCTAAAGGGAAATAGGGAAATAGCATACATCAAAGACAAAAATAGAATGCACATAAGTTACGTAGAGATAATAAAATAGAATCAGAAAATGTATAGCATAAATAATATATAACAAGTGTCTCCAAAATAGTAACTTTACAGGAGAGGATAAAAATATTCTTTACTTTCAATGTAATTTAATGTAAAAAGAAAAGACTTTAAGTTACAGTTACTGTTAATGTTATAATAAGTATTATTAATGCTGTGTTATTATATTTACTATAATTGGTGTTATTATTAAGTAAATGAATACAGTGTAGTTATTGTGTTTTCATGAAACAGAATCGTGTAGATAAACTTACTTTGACCAGAGCTGATCAGAGGCAGGAGGACACCCAGCAGAACGAGCACAGTCTTCATTTTACTGTGAACATTTCAGCACAACCTGTTAGCCACCTTCACAACTTACACACAGCTGACAATCACATTTAACGTCAGTAAAACTAAAGTGGCTGTAAGTGATGAATAAGAAGTGTGGATGCTCACCTGGTAGTGAAGCTCTAGTCACTCAGACTCTCCAGACGTCTACAGAATCTTTCTTGGTTCCTGTGACCAGTTAGATCTATTTTCCAGCTGTTCTCACAGGAGAAGGTCTAAAGCTGGTGCTGCAGCTTCTGCATTTATAGGATGCTGTATTTACATATGGAACGCCCTGTTTCATATTTCAACTCTTGCACAATTTACAGTAAATGTTTAGTTTCAGAGAAACAGTTCTTTCATTTTACGCTATTACAGCTGTAATTCTGTGTTGAAATATGGACTCAAGGCTGAGAGCCAGAGAGGGGTCAGTAATTCAGAACTCAGCTTCCAACATGCACCTCCATGTTCTTCAGTCATCTCAGTCAACTCAGCATTTATACAAGATACACACATGCACATACAAGTGCACTGCTACACATTTCTTTAAATTCAATATCTGACTCTAATTTTATCTATTTATTTATTTAGATAGATAGATAGATAGATAGACATTCATAGATAGATAGAAATTCAAAGCTCATACATCAACACATTTACCTCCTCCTGCAAAGTTGCCATTTTGATTTTATTTATATATTTCTTCATTTATTCATTTATTTTACTTTAAATATATGCAAGCATGTAAATATTATTCTGTTGTTTCTTAAACTCAATTTTGTAAATTAACCAGGTCAAAGAAAGAAACACTTGCCATTTAGGAAGATTAACAATACTCATGATTCAGTGAGTCTTGCTGAATGGATGATTAGTGATGCAACGACTGTTACAGATCTTTATTTACCACACAAAGTGTATAGAGTAAAAAGTTTATATTAATATTTCAGAATACTCAGGAATGTACAAATTTTGGCTCACGTTAGCTAGCTAATGTTACCCACGCTAGCTAACTACCTAGCTAGACAGTTCTGTGCCCACATACACAAGTTAACGTACTCAACGTACCTGGAATATTCCTGTTTGCGCTCACTGACATCATGAACATACATGAGGCACCATTTTAAACTCCTATAACTCGAGTTTAAAAGCTTTTAAAAATATAACAGCAGTGTTAAAATGTTTTATGCTGCTCTGTGTTCAGGAAATGAATGAATTCAAAACGGAAGAATACAAGGCTTTAAAAACAAAGTCTATTTTGTTTCAAGTAATGCGTTTATTTGTGTTTTTTAATTCGTCTCAGCCAGTCATTTTATAGAAAGTTCCTTAAATGTATTTTTTCTATTTTCCTTTCAGAATAGAAAATCAAATACAAAATTCAAATTCCAAATACAAGAAACAAAATTAAGTCATTTTTTGTTTTCCTTCTCAGAAATAACAGATACAAAATGTAAAAGCGAACTACACTGTAAGAAGTGGGTCCGTGTACCGTCTGTTCATTTGATTTTCATTTTAAAAACCAGCATTGAAAAACGGCAAATGGGTCGATTCTCGTTTTTGGTTCTGTTAGTGTCGGTGGAATCACGAAATAGCTTCATTTTACAATTTTACAAACTAATCATAAAATCAAATAAACAAACAGTAATGGAATAAAGGGTCATATTCTAATGATCCAAATTTAGAATTTCCCATCATAAGCAGAAATAAACGTGCAGAGCGCAGGTGTGGAAGCTCAGAAATCACAGAAATCAGGCCTGTGGTTCTGGGTTATCTGGTCGACTATATTACTTTTTGTATAAGCGTTTGTATATTTGACCTGTACAAATTAAAGAAGACAAAAACGATATAGGGAAGAAACTGAACTCCCACCATTTCACGGGGGCTTCGTGCTCCCCAGATCAGCTTCTGGTGCGCTCAAGTTCAAGACGTTTTCTGTCGGTGTTGGGCCGAACTCCCCTATGTGTGCGCGCTTCATACAGGCATATGGACACTAGACCACAATCTACCTTTCAGTCAAAATGACCAGTACTGTAGCCTCTTGGTGACGAAGGAGACTCAAGGCCTCAGCATTGTTGTTAATTAAATAGCGACGATGTGAAGATGATGAAGAAGTCTCGGCTGACACCGTCTTGCTTGTATAAGATGTTTATTACAAAGTAAAACAGTATCATATCAAGCACTATAAAGTACCTGAGAGGGGATCCGTGCCAATTCTGAAGTGTCCCCTCCAGAACAGTATAACCAACGGCTTATATAGGGAGGTTGTTTTCGAAAAAGGAGACAGAACTTATGGTCCTTTTTAAAATAATCTCATCCATCTGGAACTAAGAGAGGAAGGGAGAGGAAGAGAAAGGGGCCCATTCCCTATGGGACCTTGACCCTTGGACCCTTTGGACCAGGGGCCCCCTAACTTAAACATTCCAAACCGGCAAAAACAGATAACACATGGAACTCTGGTTACCACATATCCCCCCCTCGAAAAACAAAAAAGTAACACATACATGTTTGCAGTTGTAACAAAATAACAGTTCCTCCTACACATGCTTCCTACAGCGTAACCTTAACAATACAACAACTTTACGGAGTGTGAGATCGAAAAAACCTGTCAGGCAGTCCTGTCCATCAAAAATTCTCTCACGGTCCCTCTGCCTTAGGCGACCACATAGAGTATTCCAGACCAATTTAGAAAGGAGGAATTTTAACAAGTCGTGTAGGGATATGACTTAAGCAAATACATATGGAAACCTCAAGCTGGTCGACCCATCTGACCTTCCAATGGACCTTTCCCTGCCTGGCACCAATATCCCTAAGCACCGAAAAAAAAGAAAAAAACATCTGAGGTCCCAATGTACTTACCCAATAACAGAAAACATCAGTCTTCAAGCAATTAAAACAAAGAAAATGTTACAAATTTAAGTACTACTCATGCAGTAAACAACTCAATCCAACTATTATGTCTTACTAAGATTATCACTACCTTATAAATGTCCTCTATCAATGTCACACATTACAATATAATAGAACAAAATCCAATACTATGCAAATACTCAGCAGCGTCGACTCTCAGTGTAGTGTCGATGATGTGTTGACTCTGGGCATTGTATCACAGTGTCCTTATTCAAAGTCCTTCAGTCTATTCTTATTGTCCATGCACATCGGGGTCCCTGAACATCCAACCACCCTTACAGTGGTCTTCCCTCAACATCGTTCTTGAAGGAAAGAAAAGAAAACCACCAACCAGTATCTTTTGCAAAAACAACAGATGCAAATTGAAACATCAAATACAGATTAACGCCTTATAAGTAAATGTGAAATTCACAGTATCATACTTGCACATTATTCCTAGTTATGTCACCACTCTATAATAAGAGACCACTAAATACCAAAATAGTAACAGAAATAAACATTAAGACTATAATAAGAGTAGATATTCAAAATAGATATTTCTCCATCAGTTCGCCTTCTATCACCACTTCCTCATCATCGTCTGTGTCAGTCCTATGTAGTAATGGCATCTGAAGTTGATCTCCAGGCATCACAACTCCAAGCCATCTCAATATCATAGCCTTCGCAAAGGTCAACAACAACGTACAGAAACAGAACATCACACTCAATGATATAAGAACTGCTACCATTATCTGAACCAACACTGCTCCCAACGGTCCTAATTTCTCCTGCAACCAAGCATTCGCAGACCATCCAGCTCCTTCCGATGGGCCAAACTCCTCCCTTATATGCTTCAATGCATCTATGACACTAGTCATATTGTCAGAACTATCAGGAATCAAAGTATAACAAGCATCACCAGTTAAGTTCAGAGCCACACATAGGCCACCTTGTTTGGCCAAAAGATAATCAAGAGCCATGTCATGTTTCAGCAACGTCAGTCTGTGACTCTTTTAAGTATTTGACAAGTATTCAAAACCTCTTATAGTCTCGTTTGCAAAACCCTGTAGCGTGTAGGTAATATTTGAAATGTGATCTGCCAAAAATGTCACACCATACCATGGAAATAATCCTATACCCCACTTCTCTCCTAGACTTATTCTTCAATGATAGGACTCCAGATTATGAAATTGTGCCAGTTCCCTTTTCTTCCTACTTACAGAAATAGCATCAGATTGAACCTCATCATATACTTTTCTCTTCTGGACAGTAAAAACCTCATGTGGAAGCTTCAATGTTGCCATATAACAGCATCTGATCCACTCATACAGTAGAAATATATATGCCTTATCACCACAAACCCACCAAATATCCTTAACATTCCCTAAAGTCTTGTTTCCAGGCAACTTTAGGTTCTGCACCATCAAAGTTCTACTCAGTTTGCGATGTGGTACCTGAAAAGTCACTTTATACAAGTGATCCATAGCCTTATGTTTACGCTCGCCCAAGTCCATAATATAGTTGTTACAGTCTGATATTCCCATAAACTTTCCAGGCCCATTATGAGTATCATCTGAACAAAAACAGTCGTTAGCCTCCACAGATTTCACTTCCATCGGATCAGGGATCGCTGTTATCATATTTTCATGCTGATCAAGTAAATTCACATATGATAACTCCCACAACCAAGACCAACTATGTCTAGGTCTAAACCGATGCACTGACAGAGCCATCACCTTATCTTCTGCTGATTGCTGCTGATATAACAGCCACGATAATGCATAAGATTGACATTTAGCACTTAATTGTTCTGGTACCGTCTCTAAAATTGAAGGCCATGTGCCTGGTGTTGGAACTTTCACCACACATGGACAATTCAGTTTCCCAACCGATCTTACAGAATGAGTTAACTGCTGGAACCATAAGTTCCTACCTGCCCTTGGGTCTGCGATTTGTAACACCGAGGAATCAAATCCATATGCCTTCCACTTAGTTTCTCTCTTCTGTAATACATGATAATGGTCAGTCATGTCTTCTGGTGTCCAGTCAAAGTCAAAAAACCCATCTTCCATGTCTAAAATAGTCCTCTGAGCTGTCACAGATGAATCTGCATCATTCTCTTCCACCATCTGTTCTCTAGGTTCAAAAATCTCATTACTACTATTCACTCTAAACTCTAACATAGGTTCCTGGGTTATAGTTTCTACTTCTTTAAAGTTCAAAGATGTCATATCAGGTGTCTGTGTCACATTTACAAATTTCGTTGGTGACAAAAATGTCGTCACTGTTTTATTGGCAAAGGTTGCCCTTGGCCCAACCTCACTTGTAATATTTCCAGAAGTGGCAAAGGTAGAAATTGTCACCATCCCTGTAGTAGCATTCATCCCCTTCAAAGTCATAGCTAAAGTAATAGCCTGAATTGATGTATTAACGCTCTTAGTTGTTTCCGGAGCTAAAGTGGTAAGCTTCATCGATGCAACATTCACCCTTGGAGCGGTTGCTTTGGTGAATCGTTCCTGAACCCTTTTAGCAACCATGAAAACTCCAGTAGACCTCAAACTACTACCTTATGAGTTATATAACCCTCTCTCCACACATTTTGAAACGGAACAAATTTAAACTCTGGCTCTAAATAAGTACATGTGTATTCCCCTTGGTCTTCCCATATAACATTACACACAACAAGTGAACAATCATCCCTAACTTTCAACCACCTCCTGTCATTAAACAAAAGATACTTTCTCTGATCACGAGGCACAGTATCAACTTCAGGTCCTGTTAACAACACATCTTCGCCACGACTATTTTCCCACCAGGATTATTACCACCAACATTAAATATTCCTTCTAAATACCTTCACGAACACCTTGTCTCCAGGTTGCACCGTGCTCCTCTTTTGTTCATCGAGCCTCGCCTGCACTTCCTCTTTTCTTTGCCCGTCAGAAACGTACTTTCTCCTTTGTCATCTTTCTCCTAACTTTCCCCCTTGCAACATGAGCTAACCCCTGTGCCTCCTGAATCATCAGACCTAAATCCATGTCAGCACTGACCAGCTGCTTCCTCTCTCTCTGTCTCTCTCTATACATTCACATTTCTCTTTTTCTCTTTCTCTGTCTTTCTCCTTCTCTCATCATTTTCTTTTCCCCCCTCTTTCTGTTATTCTTCTTTTTCTGTTTCTTCTTCTCTTTTTTATTTCTCCCTCTCTCGCTCTTTAAACTACCTACTCTCTATTCCTTTTTCTCTTTATTCCCTCTTTATTTTCTCTTTCTTTCTTTCTTTCTTTCTACAACCTACAACTCCCTCTTCTCTTTCTTCCATAGGTGGATAAAGGAAGAAACAAATCAGAATTAAATATCAAATGAACCCACTATTTTTAACAACACAATAAGGAATTCAATATGATTTACACCCTTTATCTGCCAACACTTAGGTCATTTTTATCTACAACATATGTTATCCTCCTTTAAACACCAAGTTATCATCAATGAAGAAATTTCAGTTTATTTCACTCTAATAACACCTTAAATACTTATTAAATTTTTCTTTACCCATGCACACAAAATATCCTCACTGGTCTCTCCACTTCTCTTCAAAATCATAAACGTCCTTTTTGGGGGCTCATACTATTTAACCAATTCAAAAAGTCCCCTCGAAAGAGTCATGTAAATTCATAAAGTCCTCTCGAAGAGTTTTTACATATTTTTATTCATTCTTGAAGCCATTCACTCAGCTGGAACACAGCCAAGACAAACGACACACACACACACACACAGAAACCAACTCCGCCCACACACACAGTAAGGGGGGGCCAATCCCCCTCACACAGGAACACACAGCAAGCTCAGAGAACACAGAAAACACAAACAACATTCAGTCCTAAATGCTCAAAGTCGACTCATTCATACTTTATCCTATAGCATGCTTTTTCCGCCACTACTTATTCTCTTTTTCTTCTAAATTTATGCTCCTTTATGAGGTGTGAATATTCAATAAAAAGCTGCTTCAGACACTGTTCGTCAACTAGTGTTCGAGTGGGAACTTACAATTGAATTTTCCATTCCACACCTCCAGTTCCCGAAATTCACCTAGTGATTTTCCAGGATTTTAGGCCCGTCTAAAACCACCTCCTAGAGGGCTTTGGTCCAGCTGACTGGTGAGCAGTCATGGGCTGGAGGTTAGGGAACCGGCCTTGTGGCCGGAAGGTTACCGGTTCGATCTCCAGAGCCGATAGCACGGGACTGAGGTGTCCTTGAACAAGACATCTAACCCCCAACTGCGTCATGGGTGGTGCGGATAGGGCTGCCAACCGCTCCGGGCAAGTGTGCTCACGGCTCCCTACTGTGTGTGTGTGCTCATTAGTGTGTATGAGGTGTTTCACTTCATGGATGGGTTAAACGCAGAGGTGAAATTTCCCCATTGTGGGACTAATAAAGGTCACTTAATCACTTAAATCTGCAGCTTCTTTCTCTTTAACTCTTATCTTCTCTATTTTCTTTAACCTCTCTTACTTCACTTTAACTCTTATCTATATTTTTTAACCTCTCTTATTTCTCTTTAACTCTTTTCTATTTTCTTTAACTTCTCTTTTTCTTGCCTCTTTTTTCCCCATTAATCTAATTTCCCAGGGCCCCAGGCAGTTACTTTTCACTTTTTTTTCCTTTTTAACCTAATCTGACTATTTCTTCAAACCAACTTTCACACAGTGACTAATATACACGTCTTACCGTTAAGAAGATAAGGGCCCAACCTTCATTATTCTCGCATGGTGTTATTGAGCTCACCTTATCATTACTAATTAGGCTATTCTACACTTTTACATCAGCTTTCCTTTTCCCTATTACACTCCCCCTTATTGCGGCGTTTGCAACACAATAAAACCCTAATTTAGAATGGAAAAGCACTCCAAACATCAATGGTGTGACTAGACAGCAAACACACAACAGCCCCAACGATGAAACCAGCGCCCAATCATGTGAGAAATGCTCACCTTATTTGCCGGCTTGGTGCGGGAATAAGTGTGCTAAGGCCATCGGCGACGCAGCAAGCCACAACACATCCAGAATTCGTGATGCCAAATTCTTGTCTGAATCCTGTTTGTGACGCCAAATTCTTGTTGTTTATTAAATAGCGACGATGTGAAGATGACGAAGAAGTCTCCGCTGACACCATCTTGCTTGTATAAGATATTTATTACAAAGTAAAACAGTATCATATCAAGCACTATAAAGTACCTGAGAGGGGATCCGTGCCAATTCTGAAGTGTCCCCTCCAGAACAGTATAACCAACGGCTTATATAGGGTGGTTGTTTTTTGAAAAAGGAAACAGAACTTATGGTCCTTTTTAAAATGATTTCATCCATCTGGAACTAAGAGAGGAAGGGAGAGGAATAGAAAGGGGCCCATTCCCTATGGGACCTTGACCCTTGGACCTTTGGACCAGGGGCCCCCTAACTTAAACAATCCAAACCTACAAAAACAGATAACACATAGAACTCTGGTTACCACAGCGTACGTCTTACAAAACGAAAAAGGGTTGCGTGAAGCCGAAAGCGTCTTCGTGAGCTTACAAGCGCGCAAACTTTCTGTGGCTTCATGTTGTCTGTCGCAGATGCTCCGCTTGATGCTACAACTTTTTATGATAAGTTTCATGGCTGCTGGAGAACGATTCTTTCACTGTTGTAACTATGGCAAGTACTAGTACTAGTTAGTATTACTGAATAATAGACTTAACATCTTTAGGAGATATTCATTGTTTATTTAACAAATGCACGTTTCACAGTGAAATATTGTGTGTCTGCCAAAGTCAAAGCTCCTCAAAGTTGTCCATCTTTGTTTAATGGCAAGCATCACTTCACAAGCTTTTCTCATGTAGAAAACATAGCACAAAAACACATTGGCCATTATCACAAAACACACATGAATGACCATTAAGTACATTACAATTGGTCATTAAAGATTAAACATGACTAAAAGCGCATTTACAAATGACTTCCTTTTTCTCTTTCACAACAGCTCTCTAGGTTAATCAGCAAAATGTGCAAGAAATCTGTCAAATCATGCTTTGGCATGAATCAACAGAAATGAAGAAGTGCTACAGAGATCACAAAAAGGTGCTCAATGGGGCAGAGGTCCAGAAAACTCAAAAAAGAAATGGTTCTATGCTGAGAGAGGCAAAAAGAAAAACCAAAAAAGTATCCATCCACATCCACAAGGCATGGGCAAAATAATTGCCAGAGCAAAGAAATCCCAGAGCAAAGAAATCCTGGGCACACCGTCTTTGGAAGAACTATAAAAGGCCTTTATTGAAACATGGTGAGAGAAAATATTCTCAACATATGTTATTTTCCCTTATGTTATTTTCTTAAGGTCTAAACCACGTTCATTGTAGAGTTTAAGCAAATGGCAGGAAGGCGAAGCTGGTCGCACTCTCAACTTGCCCCCTCACTCCTTTGTTTGTGTTGAAATGACCCTAACAAACACCCCTCCCCCTTATCTCTACTCCCTACATCTTTATTCAGATTCTCCTTCTACAACCCTTCCTTATCCCTCCGCAAACTCCTTTTCCTCCTCCTTCCTCCCCCTCGGTTTTCAATGTATATAAGGTTCTTCCAAAATATTCTTGTCAGACTGGACTGCTGACCAGACTGAACCAGAATGGACTGGTGAGCAGACTAGACTGGTGACACACTGATGACCAAGCTGTGTCTGTGCATGGTTGTCTGCATGCATGTCAATAAGACTAGACTCCTGATCCTGCTGATTGACTGTTGATCGATCTCACTGTACCCAGACTCTGTATGTGTATGTGCTCCACTCTCCTGACTCTTCTTTCTGAATTTCTAACAATGGCAATTAGTATAAAAATGTGCTGACGCATTGCGGCCTTCATCAGGACACAGAACAATGGCATGTCAATAGAAAACACCTGAGAACACCCATATATATACACATCTACACAAGCTTCTGCCACCTGTTGGTCAGGCAGAAAATGGGGGGAGGGAAGGAAAAAAATGCTTTGACGTGTTTTGTATCGCAAAAGCTGGTTTCTTGATGATGCTGTTAATTCACACTGTTGATGGCGTATTTAAAACCCATGCATTACTGGAATACTAGTATTTTTACAGGTTTTACTGTAAAGCAGGACACAACTGTAACACATTCTGGGTTTTGCTAGATAATATTTGAGTAAGATTAAGTATCTACATATCATAATTTACCTTCCTTCTCACTCTGTGTGGGCTCAGCATAGACACTATATAGGCAAAAGTATTGGGACACCTACACATCACACCTACAGGAGCTTTAATGAATCCCATTCTAAACCAATATGCATTAATATGGAGTTTTTTCCCTTTGCAGCTCTAACAGCTTCCACTCTTCTGGGAAGCTTTCAACAAGATTTTGGAGAGTGTCTATGCGAATTTCTGCCCATTCATCCATTTGTGAGGTCAGACACTGATGTTGGGTGAGAGGGTCTGGCTCACAATCTCCGTTCTAGTCCATCGCAAAGGTCTTGGATGGGGTTGAGGTCAGGGCTCTGTGAGGGCCAGTCAAATTCTTCCACACCAAACTCACCCAGCCATGCCTTTATGGAGCTGCTTTGTGCGCTGGGGCTCAGTCATGCTAGAACAGGAAAGGTTCTTCCCCAAACTGTTCCCACAAACTTGGAAGTGGACAATTGTCCAAAATCTCTTGGTGCTGAAGCATTGGAGGAAGATTTCCCTTCCCTGGAACTAAGGGTGGACATGCTAAATTGCCCCTAGATGTGAGTGTGTGTGTGAATGTGTGTGTCTGTCTGTCTGCCCTGCGATGGACTGGCGACCTGTCCAGGGTGTATCCTGCCTTCCGCCCAATGACAGCTGGGATAGGCTCCAGCACCCCACCGTGACCCAGAAGGATAAGCGGTTTAGATGATGGATGGATGGATGGATGGAACTAAGAGTTCTAGACCAACCCCTGAAAAACAGCCCCACATCATCATCCCTCCTCAGTGCAGTCAGGCAGGTAACGTTCTCCTGGCATTCGCCAAACCCAGACTCGTCCATCAGACTGACAGATAGAGAAGTGTGATGCGTTGCTCGACAGAATACGTTTCTACTGCTCCAGAGTCCAGTGGCGGCGCTTTACACCA